ATCTACTCTGTTTGACTAACTAACTACCTAAAACCTGACTAGATACAAAAACGGCGGCGGCGGCGGCGGCGGCGGCGACGGTGGCTCACATCTCCTCACACACCCAGCGAATGTTGGCTGTTGTGTCGCGAGAATCGGATTTGATGGTAAATCGGACGGGGAAACTGCCAATCTCGTCGAGGTCAATCCTCAACGTCCGATCGAGGTCCCGGGGTCGGTCGACTGTGTGTCCGGTGCTCGGCATCCCCCCCGGGCTTTCCAGAGCTAGCATGGGGCGGATCGGATGATGCAAGGCAGCAAGGTAGGTATTTGAAGGTCGTCTTGAAGCGAGACAGGACTCAGATGGAGTGTGCGAGGCAAACCAAGGTTGGGTGCGAGATTGGGTGTGCGTGCGGGCGAGACGACGGATGCAAGCAATTCGGCACCGGGAATCGGGCCGTCGGTCCTTGAGATGTCGATGTGATGGGTGTGCGAGGAAAGACACCATGGTGACGGAATTCTTGCTGGTGTCCTCGTTGTTATGCGTGCCTGTGTATGTGCCCAAGTGGGAAACGCCGGTTGGAGGTTGTGGTTGTTGGTGCCGCCGGCGGCAACAGGTACGGCGGAGCGACTCGCAACAGGAACAAGTTGAATGCGACCGAGCTGATTGAACGCGTTCCGAAACAAGATGGCGAGCTCAATGTTAGGCCGAGTTGACGTTGATATCGACGTGGTTGAAATGCGACATTGCCCAATGTCATGCCGATCCAGCTGCTGCCAACTGCAACGAGGATTGGGAGGACTGCCTTCAACAAGCAACCCATGGCAGATGTCTTGATGAAACCACTTGAGACAAGGTGTGCCTCTTTACACCTGGGCACTGTTAGCCGCCAAAAGCCAGACAAGGACCCTGTCAATCCTCCGTACCTCTGCAGTGTTGGTTGTGTGCTTGTGGCCTCTTCTTGGCTCATTGGCGACGAATCCAATGAAGAACACCCATCCACGATGGTGATGTGAGAGGACCCAACTTGGCGGCGGCCACTTCGCCAACCGCGCCCGAAGCCACTCACCACCCAGCCGCACCGGCCCGCACACCACTACGGGCGACACCACCAGCCACAGCGGGCTCGAGATCAAGATCGTTCGGATCAATTCTATACCGCGCGTTAGCCACTTCTCTCCCGCCAAAACTGTAACCAACCGACGCAGTGGGCCGTGGTTGGGGGTCCAGGGAACGCGTTTTGGGGCCGAGTAGCCTGGACAGGATCCAAGACGGGTGTGACCCGAACCTCACTCGAGGCCTCTGGGGAACGGAAAGGGTGGTGACGGCGACTAAGAGAGGCCGGGTCTAGCGGAGGGGGGATGGATGGCGAGGGAGAGCGGGGTGGTACGTAGCAGGGGGGCGGCGAGTAGCGATGTCGGACAGTGTTGGGGCGACGCTATTTGGAGTTCAAGGCGGACTGGGCCAGGCGAGTCGGCCTCGCCGGGGGCAGTGGGAAGTGACGGACGTAGCGAAATGAGGACGTGATTCGGCAGATGTCCGAAAAGGGACGAAAGAGATCAAGCACTTACTCCAGTCCATTTTGCTCTGGCGGAAGAGCAAAAGGGGAAAAAAAAAAGGGAAAAAAAGGAAGAGTCTCGAAAAATCCGCGCCGTTTTCTCCAACCTTATCTTGACGTGAGTGACGCACACCCGAGACTTCAGGCAGGCTATGGTGGAAGCAAGTGTGGGCTCCCACTCAGTGATTGCCCTCTCTCTATTCATCGGTGCTCCCGGACAACAGCGGCCCTCGGGAGGAGAGCACACTGCCATCCCCAGCTGAACATCAAAATGGAATGGACCTGGGAAGCGACGAAACCCATCTGAGTATTGTACCTAGCGTCCCTCGCCTGGAGAGTGCCGTCTGCCACAGGACGAGGAGCCCGATTGGCGATGCAGGCCCATCAAAGACGGTGAAATTCAATCATCATTTCAACACTCCATCACAATTGCCCGTTAGGTACAGAAGGGTCCTTCCACCTCCCATTCTCTTCCTCCTGATAAGTCTGCCCGTCTTCCAGCTTCGGATAGGGCCACCAGCCCCGTAGCGGCATGTCGTCGTAGATGCAGTTGACGTAGTGCCCTGGCTTCGCGTGCGAGAAGTCGTAGACTACCCTGTTGTCTGCGTTCCAGGCCCAGGCTCTCGAGACGTCGTTCACCGACAAGTCCTGGATCCGAAAAGTCTTGAGGCGGTCGAGGTCCCGAAAGTCCACCATGAGCCGCCCAGTCCATAGGGGCGCCGTCTCGCCCGTGCGCTGTTGCCTGTCGACGAGACGCCAGACGCGCGCGACTTTGAACCACTCAGGCGACACGTCGGGCCCGAGATCATGCAACACGTAGCCCTCCTCGGGCACGATGTTGGCGGCCGACCAGAAGAAGCCCTCTCGCATGAGGCGGGCCAGGTCCCTGCACGCGACGTCAAGGTCGGCAGACCACGGGGTGGGGGACTTCGAGTGGTGGTCTGGTGTCAGCCACAAAGTCACGCGCCCCCATTCGGGGCCCGAGGGTGAGCTTTCCCAGTCGTAGGAGCGGAAGGGCTGGTGCTGCGTCGGGTCACGGTCTGTTCCTTCCAGGCTGCGGGTGGTAGACTTGGCTGGCGGCATCGACGTCGCGGAGGAAGTCGCGGCATCGATGATCTCGTAGGCGGGAGGGTTGGCGTCACTGCTGCCTTGGCTGTTCTGGCAACCATTGCCATCGTCCTCAGGGGGTGGGCGGTGGTGTGTCATGGTTCCTGCCCTAAGCTGAATCTTGTCACTCTCGTTGCCCGGAAGCCGGGAGCCGAGGGGGGGCAAGCAGGTGAAGGAGGGACGGGAAGGGATTGCGGAGAGGCAAAGGGAAGGAGGCTCGGCAAGGGCAGCAGCAACGGAGAGGGAGAGGAATCGAGCAAGATTGGGCACGCGCGGGGAAGTAAAACTCCAACAAGCCCCGAGAGTTGCAAGGGCACGTGTGACGCACGGCACGGGCTTTGGAAAGAAGTGCCTGGCTTGGTGCCTTCCTCGGTGCCTTCCCCCTTCCTTCTTTTCCCTGGGTGCCTCTCCAGGTTGCGCTCCAAGCACTGCGGCGCTCCAATGCTGTTGCCGTAGAATGTTGGGACGAGAACATGGACGGCTCTTCCCCGTTCCCATGGGAAGTTAGGAAGGGAAGAGGGGGGAAGACAGCGAAACAACACCGCAAGATATCTCGGGTGCAGCCCTGCTCGTCCTCGTTCTCTTCCCTCTCTCTACTTGGCCGTGACACACCGAGCCCATCCGCTGCTGCTTCACTTTTGCCTCGGCCGCGTCTCGTTTTGCCGCCGTCTGCCCCCAGGGGCCAAAAAAAAAAAGGAAATTCCGCGAGTGCGTGGTACGAGAGTGAGTAGTCCACCTCGACACTAAAGCTGACAAGACCGGCCAGGCTGTAGATCTTGTCACACGGATTCCCGGCTTGCAAGCGCCTGAAAAGTTCAGAGCTGAGAGGATGTCTTGTCCGGAAACCGGATCTTTTTGCCGGTTGCCCAGAGTTTTGCTGCTCCTGACAAAGCAGGCGACGCGTGCCAATTGCTATAAAGGTCTGCCGCAAACTCCCAGACCCGGTCGCTGACGCCAGCGGGGCGCGTGCCGAGGGATGCTTGGATGGGCCAAAACGTAAGGCTGCTCATGGCCTCGAGGAGCAGGCATGTGTCGCTGCCACATATCAACATGGCCGACTCGGACAACACCATCTCCTGGAGAATCCAGGCTCGGAACCAGTACGGCCGCTGCAGGAAGAGGTCTCTCAACGCCTCAAGTGGCTTCTTGGGGGACAGGCAGTCAAAAATGTCCTCAAAGACAGGGTTGGCAAGCCACGTGTGCGAGCTTTTGTTCTCGGCAGTTATCCCATATTACCGTGCCCGTTCTGCGGCCAGGACGACATGCTGAGAAACAACGAGACCATGGCCTGCCCGAGCACCAACGACGAAGCGCCCCCGGTATCCGCCATGTTTGAGCCCTTGGACCCGATCCGATCCGATCCAAGATTAGACTGGTCACGGCTGTGTGCGATTCCACCGGCCACTTCTGATGCTCCCTTACCAAGCACTCTCTCGACGACAATCCAGTCTTCTTCGCCCTATCGCACGTTTGGGGGGCCGCCAACGACACTTGGCCCATCACGCTCAACGGCCAAATTTCAACGCTACGAAAAACTTGGTTGAAGTGCTTTGGCATCTTTAGGCTCCTGAGTTTCGCAATATCTGGGGTTCCATCCTCAACGATGTTGCCGTCGCGGAAGACGATTTGGAGGAACTTCGCACGGGGGTCTTGGCGGACACAAACATTGCCCAGCAGCTTGGTCGCTTCGCAGACCGCGGCGTCGAGAGTGTCAGGGACTGGTTTACCGAGCTCGGTGTCACACATCCACCGTGTCACGGGTGGGTGCGATGACCACTGCGTAACACCCAAAAGATGGGAACGTTGTTCGCTCTGTCCTAGCGAACCGTCATCGCACACCATGTACCATGGGTCACAGCCAGGCCTGTGACACACCGGAAAGATGGGAGGACGCGGTCCGGCTGGTAAAGAATCACGGGCTTCTCTCCTTTCCGCTCTGGATCGACGCCATATGCATCAACCAGACGGATGTTGTGGAAAAGTCTCACCAGATTGGTCTGATGGCCCGCATTTACAGCCAGTCAACGATTATGTTGATGTGGCTCGGCCCGGAAGACGCGACCAGCTCGGCAGCTCTGGCCTTGACGAAAGAGATGTTGGAAAGCTCGACGTGAGCCTTGACAAACTTGGCTGAAAATCGAGCCATAGAACAGTTCGCCAAGAGGGAGGCTGATGAACGTGGAATCTCGGTCACAGGGGATTACCCTGTTCTCGCAGACTTGTTGCTTCTCCGGCCGTGTGGGAGGGACTGGATGAGAAGTTGTGGCGCCAGCAAGGTTATTGAGACCAAAAAGGGGGGGGGAGACTACTTGCCCATGGAAAAATGAGAGGGTCAACCGGAGTTGATACTCGTATTGGACGAGCTGGGAATCGAACCCAGGACCTTTCGCAGAAGGGAAGTTATGCTAAGCGAACGCTCTACCAACTGAGCCACACGCCCGATGGTTGCTTGTTGTTGAAGCGGAGGGAGGAAGTTGTGTTGTTGAAAGCGGAGCTGGATTTTCAGGGGTTGGAGCCCTAAACGCTAATTTTTTCTCGCAGCCCAGAGCGGAGCGGAGCAGTTGCTGAAACCCCGACAGCTGCTGTTTTAGGGTCGGCAAAAAGTAGAGTGGACATTCAGGGGACTCCCGATCCGTAAATCGGGTCGTCAAATGACTAGTTCAACCGTTTCTAACCGCTTTCCACAACGTGATGCCGACGGCGGCAACACAATGTCAACGGCAAGAGAAAGGCCAACGTCAAGAGTAACAGCACTGTTTAATCTCAATGGCAGCCAATGCCAATGCCGATGTGAATTTCAATGTCGGGATGTCGGTGTCATTGATGGGCCCCGAAGTCGAGAAAACGGTTAGACACTGTTGAAACAAAGGGTGCTGAGAGGCTGATTTAGGGGTTTCCGCATTCTGGAATGTTTGGGTCGAATTCTGACAGGGGCTGGAAATGAGTTGAAACCCAAGCCGCATGCATGCAGCCCACCACATGTCCCCCTCACAGTTCCATGTGCCACATTCGAGACATGGACTGAGAATCCTCTATTAAACCTCTATTGATATGCCAAAGCACCCATGCTATCAAAACATTCAACCAAACCCTCTTGAACGCCTGCTTGCTCAACCCTGGAACCGACCCGATCTTCCTCACCCCAACCCCCTTGCCAAGTCCACACTCGCCGTTTGTTCCACCCCATCCGCCATCTTGTCCCCGTCAACCACCCCTTCACCTCTCGTACGAAGCCGAATACCGCCCCGGCCTCGCCGCCATCTCATACCCGTAGCTCCCCCCCGCACCTGTCCCATCACTGCTCGCGGCATACCCGCCCCTGGGCGTCTTCACCCCGGTCTCCTCCCTCCCACCCCCAGGTAGCATCTGAAACCCCTCTGCCGTATTCCTGCCACTCTCCCCGCCATCCCCCCCCACAGAGGCAGCCGTCATCTCCTTGTACCCCCTGAGCGCGCGGCTGGGATGGCTCCACAGCAGCAGCGCCGCCACAATCAGCATGAGCGCGCCGTCCAGGCCGAGGAGGTACGCCTCGCTCTGCATCAGCACGCTGTCGTTGCCCATGCCGAACTCGATCATGCGGAAGATGGAGCGGACCATGATGAGCACGGAGCAGGCGTACAAGGCGATGACGTGGGTGCGCCAGGGGCTGGTGACGGAGAGGGAGGTGGGCGTTGGGTCGGCGCGCATCCGCAGGTCGAAGGTGACGGTCGTCACGATGAAGAAGCCGAAGAAGAGGACTTGAATGGCCAGGCCCGCGAGGATGACGTTTTCGCCGAGTTTTTGCTCCGAGTGGGTTTTGGCCTTGGCCATGAGGCCGCCGCCTGGGAGAGGGTCAGTCAGTTGTCGCTTGACGTGATAATAGGAAGGGGGGACTGACCTGCGCCCTGCGCCATAAACGAAATGACATCGCCCGTCACGAAAATCTTGGTCATCCACGTCGTGCGGATCAGCGCGTACTTCTCCGCGCCCAGCAGGCGGATCAGGCGGGCGAGGATCATGTAGATGGACGCGGCCAGCAGCGCGGGGCCGAGCAGGATGAGCAGCGTCTGCATGATGTAGACGCTCAGCGTGAAGTCGGGAGCCTCCTTGGAGGCGATGGCGCGGCCGACGTAGCCGAGTGTTTCGACTGTTGTGATTTGGTCTGTCAGCGGGGGCTTCCGCAGAAATGGCAGGGGGAAACTCACAGGTACACCCGAGGACGAACGGAATGAAATACCAGACCCTCTTGCGGATCAGGAGGAAGATGTGGCCTGCTGTGAGGGCCGCAAAGAGGACGATAAAGACGATGTTGGCAGCAAGGTTGGGGTCGTAGCGGTACAGCTTGAAGCCGCCCTCGTAGCTCTGGCTGCCACCGGCCATGATGCGGTTGGCCTGAGCACTGGGCAGGCGTGTCGGGGTATCAGCTGGCGAGACGTTTCCTGCAGGACTTGACCTCGTAGGCGGCGGTCGTCAGTTGCGAGGGCGGTGGTGGAAAGTTGTCGAGACACCGATCTGGATCCAGATCAGGAGATCTTTAAACGACTGGCCCTGCGCGGGCCTGGCGCCCTTTTGACGCGCGTCTGGACCATGCATGCCATGTCGAGATCTGGAAATAAGGTCAGATAGCCCTCCCAGTCTAGGCTCAAAATCTTGTAGCTAAGCCACCCAGACGGGCCCCCGAGCGCTTGGTGGATGCATATTGGCCCACCGCCCCATAGCGCCAACACCCCTGCAGCGGGGGCAACCGAATACGCGTATCGTCGTGTCGGCGTCGGCGTCGAATCAGCTGCTGCCCCTGCGCAGATGTTGACCCACCGTCCCGAGTTTGCCATGCGCCCCGGGCCGGGGTTCCTGGGGCCCGCGGTGTGCGCAGAACAATCCGCGTATGCTCAGCCCTGTTGCGGATGTTGCAGATGCAATTCTGACCCAGTGACGTGATTGCTTGAGAAATACGCGGAAAACAACATCACCGTCTTGTCTGCATGCCCTAAAACATCGGGGGCGCAGTCCCCTGAAGCTCAACACCCTGACGTCCGCGTATTGCGCGTCCGCCTCTGTTTGAGTCTGCCCGTGTTGATTATGGGCTGCTCTCGACGGGAATCCATCTTGTTGTCAAAGCGCAAAATTTCAATTGGCCATCTCTACCTCAACTCGAACCTTCAATCGTTACCCCCAAGTGGCCGAGCCAAACACCCTGATTCCAGAGCCAGACTTCAAAAAGGAAGGTCCCACGACGACCTGCCTAAACACTCATGCTCCTCGACGGCCGATCAGTTCGGCAGCTTGTTCAGCGCATCCTCCAGGCTGACGCCGGTGAGGCGCTTAAAGACGTCGGTGTAGCGGGCCTTAGTCTTCTCGACGACCTCGGGGGGCATCTCGACGTCGGGCTTGGCTTTCTGTGGGGTGTCAGCAGTTGAGATTGCACGCTGGGGGCAGGGGATGCCTACAAGGCCGTTCTCGGTCAACCAGTTCCGGAGGACCTGCTTGTCGACTGCTGTGTGTCAGCGTAGGAAGGAGGACATGTTTCCCAGCCCAAGTCGCGGCGACTCCGGGACCAGGCAGGTTGGGTAACACTTACAGGAATCTTGGTCGCGTCCAACTGTATCATCGTGTGAGTATGATGCAACGGTACCCGAAGGCAGACAAAGGGCAAACGGAACATACCTTGGTAGTCGGCTTCGCTCCAGAAACGCGAGGAGTCGGGACTGAGAAGCGCATGTAAGTTGCCAACCCATGGTATTTACCGGGGGGTCCAGTGAGAGACAACGCACGTCAGGACCTCGTCGACGAGGTAGATCTCGTCGGTCTCCTCGTCCAAACCAAACTCGAACTTGGTATCGGCCTAGGCAGGGTGCGTTGTTAGTGGAGGGGTTGGGCACGCAACGCCGCCGCTGCAACTCACAATGATGATGCCACGCTCCTCGGCGTAGGCGGCGCCGGCCTTGTAGCAGGCCAGGGCGAGGTCCTCGATGCGCGAGGCGTACTTGTCGCCCACGATGGCCCTGGCCTGGTCGGGGGAAATGTTGAGGTCCTTGTCGCCGAGCTCGGCCTTGGTGGAGGGGGTGTAGATGGGCTGCGGGAGGCGGGCGCATTGGGCGAGGCCGGCGGGCTGGGGGAGGGTGTGGATGGTCTGGTCCTTCTGGTACCTGCCGGGTGGTCAGCGGGCCGGCAGTGCCGTGGGTGGCTTCGCAGCAGAACTTACTCTCCCCAGGCGCTGCCAGTAACATAGCCTCGGACTGTTGCCAGGGGGTCAGCTGTTGCCCATTGGGCCTGAGGGGGTACGGGGAAGCTTGCCGATCGCCTCAATAGGGAAGATCTTGAGCCGGCTGATGGGTCACAAGTCAGCATCTCCAGCTGGACAGGGAGAAGGGAGGCGCTTCAACGCACCGGACAGTCATGGAGCGCCCCCGGAGCATCTTCTGCTCATCGGCAGTGAGCAGGCCAGGGGTTGCGGGCGGGCCGAGATGGAGGAAATGGTGCTTCAGGCCGGGGACCCGGTCGGAGAGAACCTGAAACCACTTGGCCGACAGCAGGGTCAGGATGGCGCCCTTGGTGGGGATGCCGTTCTTGATCGCATTGTATTAGCATGCTTGTCACATTACCCTGTCTCCTCTGCACCCTTTCACTGGCGTGAGACAGGCTCACCTTGAGAATGACGTCATAGGCGCTGATGCGGTCTGGGCCCTGGATTAGAGGTGTTCATGATGGCGAAAGGTTGGGCCAGGCATTGGGCAAGGAGGGAGGCATACCCGAAGTGACAAAAAGTAGCGTGGGCTTCTCGCCATCCTGCTCGGGGAGAGAGAAGAGGTCCCTGTCGAAGTTGACAGGTGAGTTTGGGTCCTCCTGATGGGCTGGGCCAGGATTACCAGCCCAGCTCAGCTCCAACGCGGGGGTGCCGGCGTGGGGGCCTTCTGTCTCGACGAGAGGGAAATTCCCCAAATACTGGGCGCGTACCTGACTTTGCCCTGAGACAATCGGGGCAGGGAGGTCAGGGGGATGCTGGCGAGGACCTCGGAAGCCATTGTGGTTGTCGGTTGGTTTGGTGTGTGGTGGAGGTTTTGGGCGGGTGCTTCGAGGGCCAAGACAGAAAAGACTCAGCAGAGATGGGGAAGAACAAGGCGGAAAAGGAATCCTTCTGGCAAGATGTGAGAACAACAACAAAACAGCAGCTGTGAGTCCCTCGCCAAACACGTCAGCCGTGCAACCAAGCGTGAGCCTGTGTCTTGTATTGCCGTGACTGGCTGTGACTGTTTTTCGTGGAGCCTCGGGAAAATCTCGACGAGGGGCAAACAGGGGCGTGCGATATCGGGCCGCGGGGCATAAAGCGGGGACTCTCTGTTCTGCCTGTGCGTGATGCAACACTAATTTTCAGGCGAACGCCTCAGCTCGACAGCCCTGAACCACAGCCTGCCCCAGCCAGCCCTGATCCACCCGCCCCGTTCAGCTTCAGGCATGGAGCTG